AGATTCATCCTGCTCTTGCAGAGAAGTCCTTAAGCTGAGAATCTTCAAATGCATCCTACCGAAAAAAAAAAAAAAATAAACTACCAAACCACAACAATTTATAAACAGGCACAAATCAGCCAGTCATGGAGTTTTATTTTATCTTGCCTTGCAGGTCAGTTCCTGAACCATGAAGTTAAGCTTCTTCAGGAATCTCTAAACAAAAGTCATCATGAGGCTGGGCAGAACCAATCTGAGGYGCTGAAGGCAAACCCTACAAACACCCTGAAAGTGAAGGGACGGCTGGTTCCTGTGGTGTGGAAGCAGAGGAGGATCTACAACGGCCAGCAGGAAGTCAGCTGCTGGTTTGCCAAAAACAACGCGGAAAAACTGATCGATGGCAGCTACAAGGACTATTTGGCTTCTCATCCTTTCGACACAGGGACCAGCTTTGGGATGATTAACAGCCTTTAAAAACGGTCACAGAGATGCTTTGCAGCAGCACGTGTGACAGCAGGTCCCTTCTGAAGCCTCTACCAGGCAATTTAAGAATATTTCCTTACTTTTTGGTGCCAAAGAAACCATGGATTTTGSCCTTGGAAATAAGCTGTCTCTCTTTCATGCTAGATGAACATGGTTTGTCAAATTCCCAAAGAACAAGAAGGTTGGGGGGAAGGGTTTAGGATGTGGCTAAAGGCAGGATTGGTGCTCTCCCAGTGGGAAGGGAGTGAGAAATAAGCCAGTGAAAAGTGCAGAGGCTGYTGGCCTTAAAATAAAACCATGCAGGGATCAGTGCAATACCCTATGGGGCTGCTGAGTCACCCCACGAGAGGCACATCACAGCACAGTGCCTGTTGAGGTGAGATCCTGTGCAAAGAAGTGACTTGGAGCACCTTCTTCAACCTTGGTCTGTGGGGAAAGAAGAGAGAGAGAGGAGAGGTAGGTGGATATTCATCTGCAGTGACACATCAGCATTAAAGAAAATCAATCAACAGGCCACAGGGGGGTATTGCTTTCCTGGTTATTGGGATGAGGTCTGGATTTGCCACTAAGCACTAATGTTCCCTGAACTACTACAGACCCTTAAAAAAATGGTGAAAGCCTTGATGTGGTTTATTGCTGTCTCGGTGCACAGGCTCCCATTCCATGGAGCAGTTAATTCAGYGTAATTCCATTTAAATAACATTGCAGGGTCAGTGATTTCTTCAGTCTTGACTCCCTCAGAGAGCACCAAAGTTCCACCAYGAGCTTCCAACAGACCTGCCACGTCCTTGAGCATCACATCCCTTCTGCTCAGCAAAGATTAAAATTTCCTAAGGGATGATGAACCAGAACCCACAACAGCTTGTGAGCCTACAAAGCAGCCTCTTGAATTTTGACTAGACGTTTCTAACTGCTTTTGTAATCAGGGAGGAAGTCTTTATTTATTCCAAATTGTCAAAAAAAAGTTTTTCATCCCGATTTCCCCTGGCTTCTTCTCCTTCCTTACACTGCAGGAATTTGTGCGCAAGGGTCTGCCAGCCACCCCCACTGCAGGTGSTGCTCCAACCCCAAACTGAGAGGCTGTGGCGTATTTTAAAGTGAGGCATCASTGAGCAATGCTATAGATCAGCCACAGGGGAGTTCTAGCAGAGAACTTGTCCAAAGAAGACCTGAAACCACAAAGACATTTACATGGCAAGGCCAAACTGAGCTCATGTACACTCTGCCTTTCCAGAGCTGAAAGGAGGGATGTTGGGTGTGGAGCATCTCCAGGAATTAAATGATATCCATGTGTTAGGAGAAAACACTTGCCAGAGACCTACAGAAATAGGTTCAGCCTTGACTGATTTTTTGCATATTTAACAATTAAATCACACTGTTGCTGTGGCAGCTCCAGCTGCTGGGGGTGGGGTGGTGATTTTCCAGTTGCTTGATCAGCTCGTTAGTGCTGCAAGCACCGTGGCAGCAGAGCAGGTGGCAAGCATGGTTTCTTATTCACACCATGTGCTGCCTGGAAGAGGGGAAACAGCCAACAGCAAGATTTAACTGCACTCTGGAAGAGCCTCACAGAGAGCTCAGTTAGTACAAAACTCATGCCAAGGCTCGTACTTTGGAACAGAACATAAAGAAGAAACTACTGCTTTGGGCCCTGTTGCCTTGAAAACAGCTCTCCTGCGAGGGAGAACTGAAGGCAAGACCTTCAGCACAGTCCTGAGTGTGGAATAATTACAGAGGTTTTATTGCAGTTTGCTTGTGGGCCAGGAAGAGCAGCTGTGAAATTCTCTGCCCAAGAAGACAGCAGGAAGATCAGCCACAGCCCACATCCAAACAAGCTCCYATTTCTCTAGCACAGAGTGAACAGGAAAGTTCAGGCACCTCAGGGTTTGGCAGGTGTTTCCATACTGTCCTTGCTGCAATCTGTCCTCTCACATTTTGCTGTCCAAGTGTATTGCTAAGGGGAATGATTGGCTTGGGCTCTCCCCTCATCTCTTCTGTATATAGATWTGTATATAATATATATGAACACACACCTACTGCTAATAATTCAGGTGCATCATTGCTCCTCTTTTCTCCTCCTCCAGCCAAGGAAAGKTATTTCTTTCAGGGCCTGAAGACAACAATGATCAAGTCCAACTTCTCWGCAATACGAAGCACCTGGAGCAATATACTCAAGGTCTCCTTAAGGCTCCAGTTATCCATTTCACAATAAATRTTTTACAGTGAACACTGCAGTGAAGCTTTCATTTGGCAAAGATAAAACAATCTTTGAAGCTAAGGTAGTGTGTGTTTCATGCTGCTGGACAGGCTCATGTTACCAGATGRCTGAAAGAACCACGCAGGAGTTAACAGTAAGCTGGGAGCCAGAAAAATTTCAGTGGAAAATTGAAGGTCACTGGCATTCTTTAGTCTCTATACACTTGGTACAAAGCAGGAACAGACCCCAAGGTTCTACTCCCACCTTCAAATGAGAGTTTAACCAAAGACTTTAAATACAGTAGAATAGGACGTGGGACAACAGTTTATGCTCCTGCTGTCCCAAGAGCAAAGGCAGGTCCTGCACTGTAAACTTCAGCTTTTCTCAGCTCTTAAGTGGGCATCACAACACTTCCCTCTCTCACTGGGTTTGGTCCTCRCAGCCCTTCATGCTATCCCAGAGAGCTCTCTGACCTCTCCTGGAATAACTGCATTTGTTCTCATCTCCAAGAGTGCCACAGAGCACTTGGATTCACAGGGATACAGCTCAAGATTGCACATTGCTCAGACAGCTCAGGAATGAGGCTGAGCAATCACTCTGGAGTGCAATGGAAACAATTGCACAGCACCATTTCAGAAGTGGGAATTGATGAAACAGCACTGGCASCACAAGGATTTTGAGAGGGAGAACCTTCCCCCACATCTTCCCTGTCCTGCTATTGCCTTTTGTGAACCTTCTCAGCCAGCCACAACTAAGGTAGAGATGAAGGTCACTCCAGGATAAATACTTTGCTGTGGCCAAATTTGCCCTTTTCACCCACTGCAGGATTGCACTGTGCAGCCCTGTAGCAAGAACAAAACCCCAAATACAAGTACGCCTCAAAACAGGGAGAAAGTTTCTAATAGGGAAGCTGTTTTAATTTATTTCCAGTCAAGATCTTACACAGCACAGGAATTACTCCAGCCCCTACCAGAGCACAGCTCCCCAAGACAAGCAGAAGCTGCGTTGTGAAACCAACTGCACTGAGCAATATAAATAATCTATTCAGAGAGCTGTGTGCCATGTGTTCCAAAAGCCTTTTGATGTGCCAGCAGAAGTAGGATTTTGACCCTTCATTAAGGAAGAAAAATAAAAAAGGACTTAATTTCCMGAAAAACAGTTTAAAGCTGCACAGCTGCAAGTGTAGCCAAGCGTGTCTAGTTCACTGAGGGGCATCCGAGACTTTGATTTGCATCTAAGGGTTCAAACGACTTTGAAGTCAGGAAATAAACAAACCAAACCCCCCAAAAAAMCCCACCAAGCATCTTCACATCCTCTGAGCTCAGCCTATATGTCTAAATCCATCCGAGTTAGAAAATCCTTTATTTTTGTACTCCTTAACAAGGGCTGTTTTCTTGGGAAAAATACAAAGGCAAAAAGGAAAAACAAAAGATCATTCCCATCCATCACTTCAGGGGAGTTGTCTTGCAATAAGCAAAGCCTGGCTCTGGCTCCACTGGGGATACCAGTCCAGTGGATCCTGGATTTCTGCTCCAAGGATTATCCCCTCTTTGGACTCGGGATGGGTCTCCACAGCTGTCTGTGCACCCAGCCTGGGAGCGGGGTGATGCAGCTGCTCTGCGCTCACTCTCCCCCCAGGACAGCTGCAAAGTGTTTTGCATTTTTGTGTTTATACACAAATAGAGTTTGCTAAGAGGACAGCAAACAAGGCAAAGCCCTGCACTTCACGCATGGAGCAAGAAGTGCCAGCTCTGGGGTGACACGGGGTCTTTCCCAGCACCAGTACTACCCCAGGCTTTCCCTTACCCCAGATCAGGGCTGGCTCATGGGGCTTTCACATACAGTTTGAATCAAATCCTGCAGATATTTCAGATGTTTATTTTAAACTGAGTAAAAAGCAAGTTCTCAACTTCCAGTAAACACTCCCTTGYAAGGGATCCATCTCTGAGTCTCTTCTGGAGCCCAGCACAGGCTGGGCTGCACCATCAGGGCTTTGCACCCCAACCACAGACACCAAACTCTGGCTCAGCTCTTTATCTGTAGTTTAACTAGGACAGCCCTGCTGCAGAAACACAATCTCCCCTGATCAAGAACGATTTCAAAAGCCCCCCTTCCTCCCCTTCACAGCATTAGGGTTTTGAACATTAAGCACATGAAGRCATTTAATCTATGAAGCAATTTTAGGTCAAATATTTATTGGATTCCTTATAAAACAGTAAAAAGAATCAGATCCACTAAGACAATCTCCCCAATTCTAGACATTTAAATACATACTGCAAACTAATTCTTTTGAGCATTGTGCATATAAAAGTGTCACAGTTCAGGCAGTACTGAATAATCTTTTTCTCCTTTTCTATTAAAAAAGCAGACAATCTTTTCATTTCAGTCTCTAGCCCTGACAAAAAAAAAGTCACACCCAGCTGGCCAGCCAGGGAAAATACATCCCTGTATCCCCAACCTCAACGTGCCTGCGTGTGGGGCAGACAGGGAAAGCAGATGCTGCTCAAGCCTGTACAAGATGCACAGACCCCATCCCCAAGACAACTGCAGGACGGGTCTAGGATGAGGCAGGCAAAAGGAGATCCACAGGGATCAACCAGCACTCCCCACCCTGCCCTTGGCCAGCTCAAGGGTCACAGTGCTGCTCCTTCCTCCAGCTCCCTTGTCCTGCTGTTGTCAGATGACCACTTGATAGCTGGGCTGCTTCATCTTCTGGCTGCTTCCCCGGAGCCCTGAAACATCCTGGTCGCTTTCAGACTGGTCAAAATCCATGTCTGGAGAGAGCAATACCTAGAAAAGAGAACAGACAGATGCTGATGGAGTGAGAGGTATCAGATCTTCTCAATACTGCTTGCTGAACAGGTCAAGCACCCCTAGAGGGGTCTGCTGCCAGATCCAGTTCTCTCTGGCAGATGGGTAAGGTCTCAAGGTCATCTCAGCCAAACAGCTCTGGGCACAGACACCAGGACCATCTGGCATCCCAGCCCCTTCCTTGAGAGCAGAATGGGCAGCAGAATGGGCAGCTGAAGGCTCTGTTCTCCCTGGGACAGGACTCACACACGGATAGTCAGCCCAGGTTGAAGCCTCAGCAGAGATGCACAAAACCAAAGTCACACATTTTGTGAGCAGCTGTACCACATGCAGACCTTCTTCCAGCCATTTGTCACCTCCAGAGCTCAGCCAGAAGTTCAAGCAGAACTTCAGGCTCAGCTTCAGCCATGGCCAGCCAGCTCAGGAGTGATGTCCAAGCCTGGCAGCACCTTATTCCTGCCTGGCACAGCAGCTCCTGGCTCAGTCCCAATTGTGGGAACCCAAGCAGAGCAGTGACTCCTCCCACTGGTGTTTAAGGTAAAAAAAGCATTTTTTGCAGCAGCAGCAGGACCCAAAGGCTGCCATTTGCCCCAGGAGCACCAACACCCTCAGTAGTTAACTCCACCTCTGRGACTACCAAAGGCTGCTCTAAACTGGCACTGCATGATCCAGACAGAGCTAAGTGCAGGCATCCTTGAGCCTGCAGATCTTTTATTTTTCCTCTTCCTCTGGAAAAGGAAAAAGGCTGGATTTTACCCAGGTCATGGCTGCACTGACTGCAGAAGAGCTGAAACCCAAAGCCAGTCAGCCAGCAGTTCTCAGGGGTAATATTCATGGCTGGACAGATTAAAATCATTGAATCCTCAAGGCTGGAAAAGATCWCCAAGACTGAGYTCAACTGTGAACCCAGCCCTGCCAAGCTCATCACTGAACCTAAATGTCCCTAAGCAGTACATTTAAATGGTTTTGGAACACTTCTAKGRAYGGTGATTCYACCACTTCTGTGGGCAGCCTGTGCCAGTRCCTGACCCGCCTTGCARTAAAGACATTTTATCTAATATCCCATATAAACCTTTTCTGTTATGACTTGAAGGTGATCCTTCTTGTCCTGTTCTTTATACCTGGAGAAGAGACTGATCCCCACGTGGTGGGGATCCCCCAAGGTGGCTGCACCCTCCTTTCAGGGAGCTGTAGACTGATAAGGTCACCCCTGAGCCTCCTTTTATCCAGGCTGAGCCACCCCCCAGCTCCCTCAGCTGCTCCTCCTCAGACCAGACTGTTTGCCAGTATTATCCTATCCCTTTCTCCTCACTTCAAATACCCAGGTTTGGGCAAGAGAAGCTGCAGTGCCATTCTCAAGTCCCCCTGTACCTCACCCAGCAGCCTTCCAGCTCCAAGACCTCAGCMAAGGGATGGCACACAGAGAACATCCCCAACAGCTCAACCAGTCCCAGAGCCCGGGATCCCTCTGGCACAACCAGAAGCAGGGGGGAATCACTCCTATCTCTGGCAGGCACAGCTGGGAATTCACAACTCCTCCACTTGTTAGCACTCAGGCAGCACCACGGGCCAGTCACCACAGCAACAAAACCACTAAACAGGAAAAACAAAACCCCAGTGAGTCAGGGACTTCAAAGGAGCAGAAGAGCCGCAGGGGAAGATTTCCTCCTCCCCACCCTGTGACACACCCCAGCCCCTCCATCCAATGTTGTCATCTTCAGTCAGACACCCCAAGGACAGCAGCAGACTGGATTAAGTGCTCTTGYTGTCCCTCTCATTGGTCTCAAGGATTTTTTTTTCTATGGTTCAGGACACACTGGAAAGTTTCCATCTCTCTCACGTGAAGATTTCCTCTGTTTATCACATTAATATTGTGATGCTGTTGAACCTGAAAAAA